GACGTCTCAATAAGGATGTGGGACCGGTGTCAAAATTCAAGTTTTTTAAGAGCGCACCTAACGGATATAATCTCACTTAATAGCGTGCTGTAACCCATTGAACTAACTGCGGTTAATTATAGTTATCCAAATAGTCGGAATGAAATCTCCAAATTCGGCAGTCAATGCCCTTTTTTCCTTGGAATGCTAGGTCAGACGGAATCTCTTATTACGTTGATAATTGACCTAAAAGTGAATAAGATTGATTCTCTCTCGTCTTCCCTGGCAAGAGAGCTTTCGGCGACTGTAAAATCAGTTTAAATATTCCTATGGGAACGGTTGCAAACGGCAAATTATACAGTTTCTTATTTTCGGTTAACGAGCGGCTAATTTCTACCTTAAGTTCTACACAGAAATATTTTCGGAGCGCCCAACTTAAAACGTTCCCGATCGCGGTGTTCAGCAGAGCTGGTCAACTCCACAAATGTACGCTGTGGTCCTAACTTCGGGTATGAAAAATTAAGGCGGAAAATAGGTGCTTTGTTAACAACGTGAAATAATATATGGGGTGCTCTATTGAAAATTTGTAGAGCCCCAACTTGAAAATATTTTAGATCTTATCAATGTTAGAATTCTGTCAAGTTTTTGTAAACTATACCGGGGCCTCCTTTTCGAGATATAGATATCCGGCATTCATCGTGTTTGGCATTCTTTAAAAATCCTGGTAGTGCCTCTGGGACATTTTTCAATAATGGAAATGCGTTTCCTTCGTCCGTTCATACATCAAACCGTGCGAGGGATCAAATTTTACCACTGTAAGGACGTAAAACGGTTGTCGGAGTCTCGTTTTACATATACACTGTGTCCAAGATAAGAATGTCTTATCATGAGGATCTCCGAAACCATACAAGCTACGACGATGGTCAAATTAGGGAAAAGTTGCATAATTAAGCAATTATTATCATGCTTTAAAGAAAATTATAAAATTCCGATTACTTCCGAAGATATTCCATAAAAACCCAAATTTGCCGATTTGGTTTTTATTTTTTTCTGGTGTTATTTTAACAGATACCGAAAAATAAAAAATCTCTGTATTATTGCTACTTTTTGAGCTGTACAAGACACCGTTGAGAGATGTTTAATACAAAGTTCCGTTACGGGGTAATCATCATCAACCCATAAACCCGTAAAATAGTAGGTACATACTGTCTTTAGTATCATCTTTTATTACAAATACAACCATATACAAGTTCCTCTACCAGTTTTCCATCAGATCGCTATTTTTCGAGCTACCGCGGTTTTAAAAATCTCCGCCCCCCCCCCCCTACGCTGCGCCACTGGGTAAACTTAATAATAACACATTTTCAAAAATAAAAGAAGGTTCAAAATAAACTCTAATTATGACGAGTACGTAATTACAACAGTTGTTCAAAATGTCCGCCGTCTGCTAGGAAACAAGCTTCAGCACGTCGAAGAAAAAAGTGCCGGTCTGATCAAAAACCGGTAGAGGAACTTTTTATTCAGTTTTCGTTGTATAACACCATCCCATGATCCCACAGTCCGTGTGCGCGAATTTCGAAACACCCTGTATGACACACACACACAAACCAAAAGTTGGAAACCGTTGATTTCAACAGGATGGTGCACCCGCGCACAATCCCCTAATCGTGCAAGAATGACTATCGAAGAAATTTCCTGGAGAAAGATTTCCAATTTTACAGCATCAAATATAGACTTTTTTCCAAAAAGGCGAATAATTCAAAAAGCATATGAGCATAAAATGTCTAGGATACACAAAAAATGATGTGATGTGAGCTGTGAAGTTGGAGTCCATTTATAAAAATGCGAATAATCTCAAAAGCACAAAATTTGTACGAATACGAACGAAGCAAAAAGTATAGGGTTTCTCAGTATATTTTGAGTTTTGACCCCCACTTATTTTCATTAATTTTGGGAACAAAAACAGTTTCAAATAAAAGTTTTATTTATTTGATCTGCACCGACTATAAATGTAGCAACTGCTTGAGTTGAATATACAGGGTGTGCCCAACAAAATACGTTTTTAATATCTTTAACGGAACACCTTGTATATTTTTATAGTTTTGGGTAGCCCTGTATTTCTTGATTACAAATGTACAGGGTGTTCCTAAATATAATGTAAATACGGAAGGGGCTAATTTTATGATTAAAAGTCCATACAAACATAGGTCAGCGAACGCTTCGCTACCGATATATAATTTCACCGTTCCCATTACAAATTAAACCTTTAAATTATAAACGTATGCAAACACAAGATACAATTTTCAATGGCAACTGTCAAAATTAATAATAAACAAGATATTGTCCAAATAAAGCTAGGGCCTTCTGGATCATTTTAAAATTAGAAAAAATAACACCCTGTAAATCCTCATTACCGTGGTCGTAATGACCAATGATGTAAGCACTTCAGCGTAACTTATATGTTTAAAATTTGAGCAAAATACTTCAAAAACTTAACACATTTTAAAATTGTAACACCCTGTAGATCAGTAACGAAGCGTTTGCGGACCTATGTTTATATGAACTTTTAGTCATAAAATAGGCCACAAAGAATTAGCCCCTTCCGTATTTATATCATATTTAGGATCACCCTGTATAATATTGTATAACATTCGTTTCATTATAATATTAATGTAGCAGGTAAGTAGAGGCAAATAATTTAATGTTTTTTTTTATTATAGAGAATATTATATATATATAAAGAAAATAAAAAACATTAAATTATTTGCCTCTACTTACCTGCTACATTAATATATCCAAAATAATTTTCACATGGAGCAATATATCAATAAAAATTCGTTTCATTCTTTAATGACTTTTTGCAAGGATAACAAAAGTGATGACTAAGTTAGTATAAAATACCATATTTAAGATCCTATAGCTCCTCAAAGTGACTTCTACTGTTGTCTATGCACAACTGGACTGGTATCTCGTCTTCAAATTTTCTCATGCATAGCCAACTATGTGATCCCTTAGTGCAAAAGTCATTACAGAATATTATCTAGATATTCGTTATCAGGAAGTACAGGGCTACTCAAAAGTATAAAAATATACAGGGTGTTAAATATATCGAAACTTTTATTTGAAACTTTTTTGTGTTATCAAAATTAATGGGGTCATAATATGACTGTGACACCCTGTATAAAATAAGCACAAAATCGAGGTACGAAAGTATTTCTAATTTTAACATGGAAGTGTAGGTGTAAAGTTGGAGAAATAGAAGTACGGATAGGTATATAGAAATAAATGTGAGGTTAGGGTTTCATTCCAAAAAGGGTCAATAACTCAAAAAGTCTAAGAGCTAATAATATAGCAAAAACAGGCACAAAATCGAGCTATGAAAAAGTTCTGCGTCATCAGTTTGCGAACAAATTTCAAACGAGTTCTTTATTCTTTATCACATATCACCACATAAGCGAGAAAGAGATGGTAACAATAGTTGGAGATTGATTCACACATTAGTGACGTAGGGCTCACCTTTCTTGAATTCAACTGTAGAGGTGTGACATTTTAAAAATTGGAATAACGCGAAAACCACAAGAGTACCAAATTCGTACTCAAAATTATTGTAAATTTATAAATGGGACTGACTCCAAATGCATGGTCCTCCAGCTTCGGGGATTTTTGCAGTCCTTGAAAACGAGATTGTCTAATAAAACGAGATAATCATCTTCGCCAAAAGATTAGGCAGAAGTACACGTACTACAAGATTTGATAAGGTTGAATTGAAGGCAAAGGTCGTAGCCAAAGAGTCTTTGAAAATTTGGGATCAAAGGGAGCTATGCGCCGCATTCTAACAGATTAGCATTAAGTGATGGTCAGAGTTCAGCGCAGTGCCACGCCGTGGCATTACCGGAATGCTAATTTCGATTCTAGCAGAAAATATCAATTAGCGCCTTTCTTCTAAGTGGGAGATTTTCCCATCGTTGTCCTTTTAATGAGCTCATTAACAAATTGCACTTCACGAAAATATTCGCGCATAATTAGCTCACTTTCTAACGAACGCGTCCATTCTTCACGAGGCGTCGCATATTTACGTTTTATGTAACAAACGGGGTTTGTAGTGTCGCAATTTTGTATTATTAATATTCATAGCGGGTACGTGTTTGATTTAAAAAAATCACATGCCGACCTTGACGTTCGATTAGAGAAGGTCGGCTGTGTTATCGAATTTTGAGTTTATTTTCGCGATAACCCGCGAAATTTGCGTATTATTGGCGGATGCGTTTGGAAAGTGCAGTCGTCGACAAACGCAATCGGCAGAGATGCTGCCGCTGTTGTGAGTTATCACCAGATTTTGGGAAGTTTTGAAATCTGTCATCGTTTCCACAAACTTCGTCGGCGATTCCGCGATGAAACCGCGTCCGCGCGTCAGCGGCACGTATTTATCACGGTCGTAGTAATAAGGGAAAATCCTTCCGATTTTCCTAGGCTACATTAACACATTTCACTGAAGTAACTGTATCAGTGTGTGTGTTGTGTTGATAGGTAAGGACGACGGACGTCACGTGGCGACGCTTAATTTTTAAGTTCACAAACCTCCTTATCGATTAGTCTAACCCAAGACACGCGTTTTGCGTACTCTCTAATAGATGATGTAATAACTTTGAATTTACCGCGGACACGTCATTGGTAATGATTTCATAAATTGTAGGCAGGATTTTCCGTTCCACTTCATTTTGTTTTACTATTCCCGAAAATAAGATTGTTGTTGATTTAAAAGTATAATTAAGGTCTGGCGTTATCTTATTTACTTTTGTGATTAATTTGTTATTGCCCTCCGCCGTATTAAATGTCTGCAAGTGTTGAACAGTACGCGCTTTAATCGCCACCGCGAAGAAGAATCATAGGTAAGCGTAAGAGGTAGATCTGCCGAATTCCGACAAGACGCGGCAGCGACGCGTCATTTAAATGAGCGATTCGTGGGGGACGATCGGATTGGTTCGTAGCGCGCCGTTTCCATTTATAAAGCGGGAACTGCACAATTTCTATTAGTACGTCAAATAATTTCATTCGAAACGTTTTGGCATTCTGCTAGTTTCTCTCTCTTCTTAATTGGAAGAGAAATTGAATGGGAAAATTGAAAAACACGTGTCCGAAAATGTTTAAAATGTATAAAATACGAATGAAGCGTTTGAATTTCTTCGACATTTCGCGGGCTTTCCACAGTATTTGACCAATCAGGAAGATTACGGTATTTTGAGAAGTGCGCGTGACCGTGTTTGATTAGTTGTAATCCGTATCTCGTACGAGTTAAGTGCAAGTGATTCGCGTTTTTTTTTGGATTTTTAATTGTATTGATAACGAAAAGGAAAATGGATAGCGAAGGGAACTTTATCGAAATTTCCACAATTTTTGTTACCGGTTTCGTCGGTGTTTGTGTGCTGTTGTTCTTTTACATAGTTAGACTGCTCAATGCTGAAAATAAAAACGTGGACGATAGAGGAAAACGTAAGATACTCTCTCATTCATTAATTCACTCAAAAAAAGTGTAAACTTTGATCAGAATTTCACCTACTAAATAACACCACGTGTGGCAGCGTTTAGGTTATTTTTACACCGTGACCGGTCGTTAAAGTGCTCTCCACTCCCATTGCGCTCTAAAAATACCATGAAATCGTTGTTTTCGCTCCAAATTTCTCATCATCACAATTTCATTGCAGATGAGAAACGTTCCGAGCAAGTTGAGAAGAAGAAAGAAAGTGTCGTTTCCAAAAGTAAGAAGAAAGTCTCAGTGGAAGGACGGTGGACTGGCCGTTCCGACAAGCAGTCCTACACTCACCCTTGGCTACTTACATCGTTGAAGGGGCACACCTCCGAAGTGCTCGACATGGATTTCTCTAGCAACGGAAAATATCTGGCTTCCTGCGCTGACGGTACGTTCTTACATTTTGCCTAGCTCTAGTAACTTTGATCTTTTTACCGCTACTATCTTATCCAATTTATCAGACAATTTCAAAGTTACAGATAACTCTCGAATCAGTAAAATGGCACTTACTCAACACGTACACTTTCGATTCTTTTACCACGAATCATGGCCAACTGTAAATTAATCATCGGGTACAAAAAAAGCAACATTTGTTTTTAGAGAGTGAGTGCAGTGTAAGTGACTGTTGTTGTTATTAGTGAGTGAGGAGTGGTTCCCATAACGGTGCCTGCACTGTGACAGTAGGTGTCTCCTGTGCGGCTCCATTCCTGTCCCGCACTCCTCTCTAACTTCATGTAGGTAGATCACCTTTTTGTAAAGGGCTTCCCTGATTTATTGCATTTTGTATGTGCATTATGAGACACTTCTATTCCCTCTTTCTGTGCGAAGCTGGTTGGCTTGTGAACTCAGATTGCCTTTGCTATTAATGTGCTTTTTTACCAGAATCCTCTCGGACTGTAAATAATTTAACAGACCGGTTGGGTCCCTGGTGTGCACAAGGAGGAAATCATTGTAAAATTAGCTACATAAGAAGTAAACTAAAATTCAAAAAATATACAATTTTCACCTCATTAGGGCCATGCTAATATCAAACATAACAACGGTTATAGAGCCCCTGGCTTTCTTTCCCTTGACTATCTCGCATGTTCTGCTTCCTATAGGAGTTGTTTACTGTTCCAACAGCACCTAGGATTCTTGTTTGTTTTCCTACACTTATCATCTTATCGTGGTTGTTTTTGTTTTTCTGTTGACAGTGTGTCACTGAGTGGTTTTTTATATTGACAGGCTAGTTTCGAACTTATTCACTTTAACGTCTCTTCCATGTTCGAAGGAAAAAGAAGCACATAGTTAAGTGTACGAGTACAGTCCCTTTCAATCTTTTGCCTTCAGTCAGTGATAATCTCACTACTACAATTAAAGTATAATAGCATGCAATAAACTTTTACCTACTTTATATTGTGTGTCCCATGAGAATTATGGACTTATTTTAAACGTGTACAAACGTGTGAGACGCATTAAGCCTGAAAACTCAAATTTAGGAAGATTTTAAAGTTTAAAAAATTTCGAAAATTTAAAACTGGAAAAATTAACGGGGAGGTTTGAAAATTTTCAAACATCTTAAAAAATCTCGACAATAAAAAAAATGAAAACATTCCAAGAATTCACAATAATTTTAAGAGTAAAAAAATCAAATTCAAGAAGTGTTGAAAAATTAAATTGATCACAAAAACTCAAATTCAGGGAGGACTTGAAGGTTAAAAAACAGTTTTAAAAATTCAAAAAAATTCCAAAAATTCACAATAATTTCAAGAATAAAAAAATCAAATTCAAGAAGAGTTGAACAATTAAATTTTATATATCCCAGAAAATTTTTACTGCTTAATTGATCACAAAAACTCAAATTTAGGGAGGATTTGAAAGTTAAAAAACATTTTTAGAATTTGAAAAAAATTCCAAGAATTCACAATAATTTTAAGAGTAAAAAAAAATCAAATTCAAAAAGAGTTAAAAAATGAAATTTTATAGATCGCAGAAAATTTTTAGTTTAATTGATCAAAAAAATTCTGAGAATTCGCGTTTCCACCTTTTGAGTCCATAATTCACGAGTGATCGATGATTGATTTTCCAACCCAGGCACGCAGGTGATCACTTGCAAGGAGGTTTTTGGGAGGCTCTCCCGCTCATCCCTTGCATCTTCTTCTACGCATTCTCGCATGTTTTAAATACAGGCATCTTGATCCCAATAGAATAGGATTATGCATTGAGGAGGTTATCTTGAGATTAAGGCTCCCAAATCCTTCTATCCTGTACCCGAGGACGCCCTCTCTCAATTAGTCCAACCCTAATCACCGAGTGTGGACTGTTAGTGATTTTGTTATTCTGTGTGCAGAAGAGCCCGATCCCGGTGGCAAGTTGCAAGATGGTGGCACGAGCAGTAGCAACAACGACTCCAGTCACGAGACCAGCGTCCCGTCGTCCGAAAGTCCGAGCCCACGCACCGGCCTGTCGCGCCGCCAGCGCAAGAATCGCCGCCGCGACGACTCCTCGCCCGAGCAAAAGCGTAAATTCCGCAACCGAAAGAGCGAACTCGCCGTCAGCCGCAAGCCCATCGTCCATACGCCCCTAAAACAATTTCTGAAAATCGGAAACATCCCCGAATCCCAGCTGGCCTCGCTAATGCAAACCTTCTTCCTCAGCCCCGAGCAGATGCTAATAATGGGATACCCGCTGGAGTACAGCGGCTACTGCAACCGTGCCATCATCTTCAAGAGTCCCCTGACCATGCCGAAGGCCCAACAGAAATTCCCGCAGAAAAGCGCGCCGCGCTACTCGAAGATAAACGTGAAGGAGAGCAAGTTTGACGTGAACGCCCAAGAATTTGTGCCGGGCATGGATTACTCCGAAATCAAAGCGGAATGGAACGCGAACCATGATAGCGGCCAGGGTTCCGCCAGCTCGAGCGTGTCAGAAGAAAACGACTCGGAAGGAAGCAGCACGAGCCTCGACTGTTACCCGCTCACGCCCCCCGACTCCGATGCCGGCCATCAGGAGACCCCGAAACCGCCCCAACTTAACGACTACGAGATCGGCGAATCACACAATTGCGTACGGTGCGGGAACGTCTTCTTCATCTCGAACCACGGCGAGTACCTCACGCAGGAGCAGTGCACGTACCACTGGGGCAAACTTCACAGTGTAATCGCGACGATGGGCAAACACACGCGGACCTGCTGCTATGTCACCGAGTATTCGTGCTGCCACGGGAAGCCGAACTCCCGCGGCTGCACCGTCGGCAAACTCCACGTGTGGAACGGCACCTCGGTCGGTTTTAACGGTCCGTACGATTCGTACGTGCGCACCAGGCCGCGAAAAACGCTGCCGCCCGACGGCAATTTCGGCGTGTACGCGCTCGACTGTGAGATGTGCTACACGGTTCAAGGACTCGAGCTTACCAAAGTGACTGTGATCGGAGTGGACGGACGATTGGTTTACGATAGCTTCGTTAAGCCAGAAAGCGAGATAATCGATTATAACACTCGCTTCTCTGGAATTACGGAGAAGGACTTGAGTAGTAAAAGTGGAATTAAAAGTTTACGCGAGGTACAAAACGATATAATGGGCTTTGTGAATGCCGACACGATTTTGATCGGACACGGGCTGGAGAACGACTTGCGTGCGCTGAGAATTATGCATTACACGGTGGTGGATACGGCGGTTGTATTCGCACATCCGAATGGACTACCCTATCGCAGAGCGTTAAAGTCGATAACGTCCTGCGTTTTAAAGAGAGACATTCAGTGTAGTGCCAGTGGGCATAACAGTTACGAGGACGCCCGCGCCTGCATGGAGTTAATATTGTGGAAGGTCCGTAGAGACTTTCTAAAACCGATGGACCCCTACTAGTGATATTTTCGTACTCGTCATACCTTCATTCGTGCCTTTATTTATTGCTGCAATACCATTCTCATTTTTTTTTACGTTTTCTCCATTTCTTTACTTACATTACGTCTAAATGTACTGAAGGAAATGTGATGTTAGTTTGTAAGCGTAACACTATGCTTAAGAAACGATAGTATTTTATGTTCCTAGAAAGCGAATCTATAAATACGTGTTTTGTACGACTCTAGTTTGTAATTTTTTTGATAATAATACTTGATAGAATGGCCGACGACAAAACGGTAAGCAACTATTTTACTATTACGATGATAACACATTTTAAAATGTTCAATGATGTTTAATACATTGAAATATAACTTTATTATATTTGTCAACGTTGTTATTTTCTACTGCCATCCCCGATCTTGGCTCCTATCCGTTGTAAATTGAGCACAATAAAATCCTGTGTACACAGTGCCACGCTTATCAACAATAAACCAACTTTAAGATACTCGTTCTTCTGTTTTGTGTACCAATCTTTGTTTGCAAATGGAATTGTAGAGGATATTCAACCAGGTAAGTTCATTGGAATGAATAACCTTGGAATTAAATCTCAAATCATTGCAATTATCCTAAACACAAAAAAAGTCAACATGTTGAATTTAACTGTTTCTCTCCCACTCGGCCTAGTAGTCCGAGCCATTTGTAGTGTTGACCTACCTGAATGTTTTGATCACATAAGTGCAAACAAGCTGAATGTGAAATGGATTAAGAGTACGCATCACTCATGTGTAAAGCCCTCTTTTTCAAAAACGGTTGAAGAAAGGCGTACGCTCTCGCGGTTGTTCTTGGGAGAAATGTAGTCCTCTACAATTTATTTTCAATACATTTTTTGTATCTATTATGGTTGGTTTGGCTTGCGTTTTTAATCAAATGCGCGCGATCGTTATGTTCGTAAGGAAACGCCGTAAGGCTCCGCTAGTGGAAGTGCTTCCTGTCTCTCTTACAGAGAATTGACTATAGCCTATAGACAATGAAAGAAAGGGGACTGATAATATCCTATCAAGAGCAATGCCGCCCGTTGACGCTGTGGCGGGCATATTCTCGATACACAATACTTTTTATTTATTACGTACCTATAATATTATAATGAACAGAATATTTGTTAAAATAAAGTTTCGAATAATAATCTAATATTTACTTTCTAAAAATATTGATGTGTGGTGGTACGTGCATACTTTATGCATACACACTAAATAGAGCGCAATAGCAACGGATCTTTTCATGTTTTTAACACTCTTTACCTGGTAAAAGAATCGAAGGTCTAACGCCAGATGTTTGACACATGTGTCTACCATTTGGGTGAGTCACTGAGATTTCACAAAAAAACGAGTTCATTTTATTACAAAAATTTGTGTGTGTTTTTTTTAAATACGAGTATAGATACAAATGGTAAAAACAATGTAGAGGGAATTTTGATAGCTGAAATGAAATTTCTGGTAAAGACAAAGGGAGTATTGCACGCGAAAAAGTTGCAACACTGTCAGTAGGTATTCGTCTGCGTCGCTGTATTTAACTTTGTAAATTGTTCATAAAAACATTTATTTGTTGTCAAAGAACAGTGCACAGTAACATTAATGCAGAAGGTATTTATACTATGCGAAATTAATAAACATAAATAAATAATATTGTATTGAGACAAACCATAAGCGGGGAACTTTTTTACCATTGGATGCCCTATTTAAATTAAGCACGAATAGTGGGGATATACCGACCTATGATACCAAGCTTTGATTGTAGGTACTATATTCAAAGATACAACCATTATGATACAACGCATATACCTTATTTACAAAGAATTACCATGAATTATTCTTTCGAGTATTTTTTATTTTATTTTATTTAATTATAAATAAATTCTTGTTTAAACTCAGATTTGGCAAATAATGTAGGACTTTGATTATAATTCGCTTTCCTGCAACCGGCCGTATAATTCTTAGAAATAGAATAGTAACCTTTGAAGTGATCAAGTTGTTTTTTACAACTAAATCTAAATATACAAATTCTGCCCCAAAATTTGTAGCGCCCGGTGCGGACCGCACTTACGGATAGACTTCTCAACAGTCGAGGGGCAAACCTCCCTCGAAAATAATGTACACCAGACTACCAAAGACTACCAATGGAAATACTAAAGACTACTAAGGACTACCAAAGACTACCATTGGGAATTCCTAAGACTACCACTGGGACTACCAGTGGACTATCAAAGACTACCAGTGGAATACCAAAGACTACCAGTGGAATACCAAAGAATACCAGTGAGACTACCAAAGACTACCACTAAACAGAAGTAATACTGATATGCATCGGATGAACAAGACGTTCACCCACTTTTTAATATCGCCAAACATCGAAGAGTTTCCATCCATAATGAAAAAAAAAAAAACAAAAAAAAATTAGCTTCCGTAACTCGCAAAGTGGGTTATCATGGTTTATTAGCCAAAGTTTTATTTAATACAAAAAAGAAATATATAAAAAACAAAAAAAAAACCAGTTGATATTTTTCTAGATTGTCTCTTGATTTTCCTTTAACAGGGTCTTTAATTTTTTATAGTTCGTCGCTATTTCCTCGCGCCGAGTTGTTGAGATTTGAAATGGATGATTCCCTTGAAGTAAAATAGGTCCATAATAGTTATTTATGCATCAAGGGCATTCAATATTTATGCCGAGGGCGACAGAGCCCGAGGGCCTCCGACCCGAGTGATTGTAAGTCGCCCGAGGGTTAAATATTGAGTAATGCCCGAGGTGCATACAACATTTTATTTTTCATCGTTCCAAAGAATGCATTTCCAATATACAAATGTCATGATTATTGTTTGCCCAACATTAAAGTGCTTCATACGAATCAAGTTGCATCTTTTTTATTACATAATATAACTCCGTCAATCAATTTGACAGGCCGTTTGAGGGCATAATGAGATGACAATCCATTATGCCCTCTCATTATGCCCTTGGGCGTAATAGACTGCTTCATATATCACATATGACAGATATAATTGACATATAATAGGCAAATGAAAAATAAAATATAAAATCGTCTTTATCAAAGTATATGGCCAACCATTTTGAAAATTGATTGATTGCATAACGCTATAACTTTTCATTCTGAACAACTTTTCTGAATAACACTTTGGCGTAATGTGAACGGAAAAGGTAGTTTACCTAGAACTAAAATATTCCATATTGTAGAATCCAACGGTGACATCATCATTTGTGTGTTAATGTGCGAGGCGAAGCCGAGCAATGTGTTAACGGTTCTATACAAACGTGAGACTGGGTGCCATTTACATTAGAGTGTTATGCCCTCCAATTGCATGCAGAAGCCAGTTTGTTCATATTTTGGCGTTTATTGGGAGACGCCGAGGGTTAGAACGATACGGTCTTTACCACCCGCACGTTAGTAAGGGAGTTATTGCATTGGGGTAAAAAATGACCCCCAACTGTTATTTACGAAAATACACGTTTTGAAGCACCAGGTATCCGAATCAAACAAAGTCTCTATGATGTCGGTCTGTCGGTCCGTCTGTACTCTCATTTCCGATTAAACGGCTTAATCGATTGGAACCAAATTTGATACACATATTCTCAGACATAAGAGGAAGAGCTGAAAAGGTTTTGGGCATAATCACGCATGCGTAAGGTGTCAAAAATGTTAAATTAATATTATGGCGAAACTTTTGCGTCGAATTGTACCAAATTTTGTAGATGTGTATATAGACACTTTGACACAACCCGCACATTTACGTTGGTAAGGGAGGTATTGCATTGGAGGTCGGTCTGTACTCAAACAAATTTGGTACACATATTCCTAGACCTAAAAGGAAAATCTGAAAAGATTTTGGGCAGAAACGCGCATGTGCAGGTGTGCGGGTGTTATCTGTGCTGGCCACAGCAAATTTTTTACATTGGTCTCCTAAAATGTTCGTTCATATTTTAGATTCCACGGCAACTTGGGTACATGCGTGAGGCGAGGCGGCGCAGCCGCCGAAGTCGAGCGATGTCTTCTTTTGTGTGTCAATGTGCGGAGCGAAGCCGTGCAATGTGTGAACGGTTGTATATAAGCGTGAAACTGTTTAGCATCTACATTAGGGTTTCATGTATGTTGCGCAGAACGCAACTTACTTATTTACGGAGCAATTTGCACGAAACTTTGGTGTTAGGTTCTTCCACAGAGTTGTATATAATAAATAGAGAGACAGTGTTGTTGCATAAAATTCACTCCAATTGGATCTTGCGCAGGCCGTTGACGAGTGTGCGCACTAACCGGATGAAGATATAGTGACCAATAAGCAACGTAGGTGCGAGCAAAACAAACGCATTTCACGCACCGCGAATGCGTTAAAACTATATAAGTATGTGACCACTGTAGTTGGAGTTAATTTGGCAACGCGCAGGTCCTGTGTACAGCTCCTCTATTTACTATATACGAGTACAACTCTGTGGGTCCTAACAAAAACAAATGAAATGCGCTTTTCAAAACTCGTATTGCGCATGCGGAGAGCGCAACTGTCTTATTTTTGGAGCAATTTGAACGAAATTTGGATGGTAAGTCCATCTAATAAAAGCAAATAAAACGCATAGGTACGCAAAAAGTCGTGTTGTGCGCAAAACGCAACATTCTTATTTTCAGCAGTATTTGTGAGAAATAAACTCACTCTAGCGGAGATTTAAAATGCAAAGCATTTTTACCAACCTATAGGATGAGATTGACTAAAAAAGAGAGTATCAATATATTAGTTCATTTTGAGCCGAATCAAGTTTCTTTCTTCTTTTTTCGCCTTTTACAATATTCTAACCACACAGAACACGGTTCAAACTACATTATCAAAACAATCAAGCAAAAAAACAAAAAATTGACAAACGGTAAACCACACAAAACGGCGATTGTTAATTAAACGCCGTGATCGGCCGAGCGAAGCGAGTTCCGTACCGATCTAGTTATATGAAAGAATAGAAATCATTTGTTTCTGAAAATGAATGTAATCTCGAATGTAATTTTTATTATATTTATGTTACAAAAACTAACGTTGTGGATAGGAAAAATTCAAACAATAATTTTGATACAAAAATATAATTATATAATTACTCTCGTATACCCTTGCTGCCATATTTTCCTAAAAATATTTTTGTATAGTTGTTGCTCGAGATATTATCTGTCGTCAAACCTATCCTCTGATAGGAAAACTGAGAAAGGAGTCATGAGTTTTTATATAAGTGCGACAATGAAAGAGTACCATTAAGACTACCACTGTGACTACCAGCGAATACCACTGTGACTACCTGAGACTACCACTGTGACTACCAGAAACTACCAAGACTACCAATGTGCCTACCA